GTCCTGAGAATGAAATTTTACCTCTTTCCCTCAGCTGCAGAACGCCGTTTGTATGTTACCCATTCACTGATCTTGAGAAAAGCTATTGTGATTTTCACCTTTGAGATTTCTACTTCTGCCAAAAATACAATAGAAAATAGTTAATGGGTTTTGAAGTCACTAGCAAAGAAATCTGAGAGACAGATATGGGCAGAGAGAATTAGTCCACCATTTTATTTATTTCCATATATTGAAAATATATAGTCTATTTTGGAACAAATGTGGAACCTAGGAAGAAACCTCTTCCAAGGAATTTAGGATAATCTTTGAATTTGTCATTCTGTCTTGGTTTGAGACAATTTAATGGAGAATGCTCTGGAATGAGTTCTCTCCCTTTATAGGTTCTAACAGTCCCCTTCCACCAATAAGGAACATAGATGAGTAGATAACTGAAAAAAGAACTTTACTACGTTTACTAACAAGCAGAACAACAACAGGCAAAAATAACAAATAGATACAAAATTTCTGAATTTCATGGAGTGCCCCCAGAACAAAAAGAGACCCAAAAATGTTGGGGACACACACACACATACCTGCATCTGCCACCATGGCGTTCTGCAGTCAAGCATGTGGTTCGAAGGACAAAGGGAAGGCTGGTGTCAGTCTTTCCCCCACCTCCTTGCTCTGCCTCCCTGACAGCTAGAGCTCCCACTGATATTCTCTGGGTTAAGGGGCTAGAACTTGCAGAAGGATTTAGCCTTCCTTGCAGCAAGAGACTACAGGGCAGGCAAGGCAAGGTGGCTGGGTTGAGGCAACTCACATTTTTCTGTCCTCAGGAAAACAGACAACCTTCTGCAGCCTAGCATCCCTGCCTGAGAATCCTCTGATGACATGCATGTCACAGATGAGAAATGCGGTGGTTTGCTCTCACAATTAAGGGATGAATATTATGTGTGTGTTAAGAGAAGTTTTATAGATGTAGAGTTATGTTATTGTGAAAAACGAGATTCACTTAATAGATTATAAAAAGTTTAATATAAACAAAAAGACAATTAGGAGACAAAGGAAATAAAGCAAAGGGTTAAAACTGCCAGGTGCCCTGGCGCCTTGCCAGGAACACACCTGGTATCTTGGGAACACCCTTTTTATCCCATCCTGCTGTGAGGGTTTAATGCATATTCAAACTTTTTCAAGAAATATTTAGCATGTCCCCTCCCTGGTTCCGCCTATTTAGAACATGCTCTGTATGGTTTTTATTTTTGCTGATCATCATTATTTTTGCTGATCTTCGTTATTTTTGAGTTTGGTTTCCTTTCTTCTGCGAATGGTCAGTGTTGATTACAGTCTGGGCCCCTCATCCTTCCTCTGAGGGCAGCTGGGCTTCATATCCTTCCCCTGCTGCCAACGGCCTAGTCCTGGCTGCTGATAACAGCTTGGTCTCCATTTCCTGCTGCTGATAACAGCCTGGTTTTCATTGTCCTTCCGCTGAAAACAGCTTGGTCCTCCCATTGTCTTGCCTGTTGGAGTTATCTTGCCTTGTCCAGATATATATGAAATATATCCCTACCATTCAGAATTCCTTTCTAAGCCTATAACTTGCTAAGAGAGACAATACAGCAAAAAGCATATAGCATATAACATTTATCATAATACTTGTGAAAAGCCAGTATTTACAATATGAATTCACAACATTATTGTGGTATGTTGTTTCCACAGTACTCTTTCCCGTTCCCCTTGTATTGTCAAAGGATGGCCTTGATAGTCAAGGCACTTGGGGAGGGCTGGCTTGTTACTAGGAGGTGTGGCATGACAACATCTGGCCTCCAATCAAATTGCAAGAAAGCAGTCTCCACCAATGGATGGCAAAGATAAGTTGATTGGCAGCATTTGGGTGGGGCCGGGGTGGCTGATGTGACGCCAGGACTATAAAAGGTGGTGCAGCCATTTTGTAAATGAACACATGGTGGTTTAGTTCTGTGCTGCCAGTGCTGCTTTTTCTCCTTTTTCAGTCTTTTATTTTGTTACAATTTAATAAACCTTTGAAATTTTGAAAGTGAGCGTTGTTTCTCACAATGCACATGTCCATACTTCAAACTTTCCTGATCCTCTGGACTCAATACAGCGGCATACCTTTATGGGAGTGAAACCAACTATCTCCATTCCCTTTTGACAAATTTGGTTGAAGCTGATTAAGATGTTCAAAAGTATTACGGGAAGGGATTGACTGGCATCCCCCTTACACAGAGTTCATTTCCCTGGTGTTGAGGGTTAGGTTTTCTTTTTCTTTAGGGATTTTTCCTTCATTTGTTGTCATAGAGATGGTGAATGGACTTTGATTTACAAGAGAGAAGACGTAGCCAGGGCCTTGGTATTTCAATGGAACAGTTCTGGGGGAGGGGGAGAAGCAGCTATGGTGGTTGGCAGTTTCTTGCCTGGGTGTGAGTCAGTCTTTGCCTAGCTTGGAGGGCAGACTGTTGTGGATTTTGGTGCTGGACTTCTGCTCAGGGGAACTCGCTGCTACAGCTGAGCCTTCCTTTCCATTTCTCCTTGCCTTTGGTGAGCCACTGCTTATAGGAGCGACCATTGGAATAGGACTTTTTGGCACCCACTGCTTTAAGAAAGTCCCTCACCCATCTGCCTGGGCACCTCAGAGGAAAACTGGGCCCCTATCTCCTCTCTCTCCAGAGAGAGAACCTCACACCTGCTTACTGCAGCCCTCAACAGGACATGTGAGAGCCAGGGGAAAACAGAAACACCCCTCACCTTCCACCTCTCTCCTCCTGGGGAAACCATTATCCCCTCAGGAGGCGCAGTGCTTCAATGAGGCGCCCTGTGCCTCACATGGAGCCAACAGCACCCCCTACAGCTGTGGGGGAGTCACTGCAGCCTCTTTGTCTCAATAGGAGACATCAGCGCCCCACTGCCAGTTGTGACTGCAACTACACCAAAGGGGAAATCGCTTGACGGGAAGAAAAAGGATGTTACTGGCATTTTTTTTTTCTGTTTTGTTGTTGTTGCTGCTGTTGTCATTGATGTTTATCTTCCTTGTTTTATATTTTTATATATATACATGTGTGTATATAAATATTTATATCTGTTATAAGCAACTCAGACCCCAGGCAGGAGTGAGTAAATAAAATTTAATTAGAACCCATTAAAGTTGCAAAGCAAAGAGAGGACAGCGCTGGGAGCATAGTGAGGCTTTTTCTGCTCACCAGAGGCTCAGCTCATGAAATGGCATCTCTGCCTTTTAGACACTCAAGGTTGCATCAGTGACATTAATATTAATAAACAGTCCTTATATGTCCTCCCAGCACTTCCTACAGTCCGTGGTTTTGCCCATATATATATATTTGGCTTCTCCTGGTGTCTGTGGCCTCATCCTTATAGGTAGATTTGTCTCTTCCCAAGGTCTGTCAGCCAGTCCTCCGTGGCTTTCACTGCTGGAGGCTCTCTCGCATCTTGGTGAGATGGTGGTGAGATGTTGGTGAGATGTTATCCTGATGTTATCCTGATGTTATCCTGATGTTATCCTGATGTTATCCTGCCAAGCCTCCCAGCAACACGTGTCCCCCACTCCCTGCCCCTCCTGCAAGGGGCAAGTACACACCCTCCCCCAGATGTTTTGACAGCCCTGTTAGCCAGACCTGCCAGGCAGCAACCACAAAAGGGGGAGAGGAGGATTGAAGGGTGAACAGAAAAAGACTCAAAACCAAACTAGAACAACAAAAGTACATGTCAAAGGAACTGCAAATCTTAACAGAACTTCTTCTGAATTTATTATACTTAATAAATCTTCCTCATTTGTATGAGCTAATCATGACACCTTATTCATAACATATCTATTTATTAAAAAACTCATTTTTTTTGCCTGAAAAACCTGTAATTTCCAAGTTATAATAGTAAAGAGGTAATCATATTTTCCATTCCAGGAAGGTTTCCACCTTCCTTGGCAGACATTTGTCTTTTAAACCAGGACACCTAGTAATCCAGGCTGAAAATGAGTAATGCAACCCACAAGTGGTTAAGTGGAACAGGCAAGAGGGGCAGGGTCTGTAACTCAAGAGGGTTAATGCCTTGGAAGTCCTGAAATTAATACAAGAGCTTGGAGCAACCTGGTCTAGTGGAAAGTGTCTCTGCCCATGGAAAGGGGTTGGAACGAGACGTGCTGTAAGGTGCTGGCCAACTCAAACCAAGTGATTTCCAAGGAAAATTTACCCCTTTGCAGAGGGCTTGCATCAGCAGATGCAAGATTCTGGCTTGCATTGTTTTAAGGATCTAAACATGGTCTTGGTCTATGTCTGAGCACAACTCCCAAAGTTAGCAACCCCTTTAGGGTTCCTCCTTCCCCATTCTCAGGTGAATGGTGAGTTTTAGAGAGAAATTGAAATGGTTTTCTTCAAACCTGGAAGGTTGTTGGTGTTGTATTGGGAAGAACTACAAAAAAGCAAGAGAAGGAGGTTCTGGATGGGAAGCAGAATGTGTCCAGAAGACACTGATACACACTTTCAACTGTGTTTGAGGCTTTTTCTACCAGAAGTTGCAGCTCTGTCCAAAAGAAATGAAAGATGGTGTTATTTTTTCCCTGTAAATCAGGAATCCACTATCAGTTAGTAAAGGGAAGCTGTAGCTCACAAGATACCTGATAAACTGCATCCCCTGCTCAGCTTGAGTTTACATCTCAGTTGGCATTGTGTTAATTGGTTAACTGTTCTGTCTAATAGTTGGAATATAGGTGGAATAATACCAGTCTGTACTTACAGGCATGGCTAAAGGGTGTCCAGGACCAGCTAATGTTAATAGACCACATTTCATTTGAATTTCTCATAATGTGTCAATAGGTTTTGGATGAGGTAAAAAACAAATTGTTGGGAGACAGTTTCTATGTAAACCTGATTGGATGTATGAAGGCAAAATCCTTTCCACATAAACTTGGTTAAGCAGTGCAGGACTCCATTCCTATGTTATCATTGTTCTCCTGTTGGTTTAATTCCTGAACCCTTTTTCTTTTTGATCTTCAGAAATGAGTTCAGACCCTGGATAGATGTCAAGCCTGTGAAAGCGATAAAAGCAAAGCCCCAGTACAAGCCACCAGAGGAGAAAATGACCCATGAAACCAGTTACAGTGCTCAGTTCAAGGGGGAAACCAGTAAGCCTTCTCCAGCTGATAACAAATACCTGGAACGCAGAAGAATACGCACTCTCTACAGTGAACCCTACAAAGAACCTCCAAAGGTGAGAAACATGGCAGAAAGGACACAGGGCCATCACTGCTCCTGGTGGGACATGTCCAGTGCAGTAAGGCTGGGCTGAACACCACTCACTGTCATTCCCCTTATGTGGTATCCTCATTCCAACCAACAGGTGCATCTCAGGATCCACCTTGGAGATGGTGGTGGATAAAAAACTAGGCATGTCCTGGCCATGTGGGCTGTCAGCCCAGAAAGCCAACAGGGTCCTAGGTTGATCCCACAGCATGGACAGGGAGGTCAGGGAGGGGATTCTGTCCCACTAACAGGGCTCCAGGAGAGCTGGAGAGGGACTTTGGACAAGGGCCTGGAGGGACAGAGCAATGGAGAATGGCTTCACATTGCCAGAGTGCAGGGTTAGAAGGGGCATTGGGAAGAAATTCTTGGCTGTGAGGGTGCTGAGGTCCTGTGGCTGCCTCATGCCTGGAAGTGTCCAGTGCCAGGTTTGAGGGAGCTTGAAGCAAGCAGATCTAGTAGAAGATGTCCCAGCTCATGAAGGGGGTAGGGAATGAGATGTTCTTTAAGGACTTTTCCAACCCAAACTGTTCTATAATTCTGTCGGCTCTGGGACAGCTTTAGGCACTTCAAGACAATAGTGCCCTACATCAAATTGTAAAGAAGTGAGGGTAGGGCTGAGATGAAGAGGTTTTTCTCTTGCCATTTCCTATGTGATTGTCCAGGCAGCTTTCTCTTCCTCCCTCCAAAACTTTAGGAGCCCCGCCTTACATTTTATTCCAGGAGCCAGATATCTGTTAATTCAGAGCATTCCACATATTTTGACAGTATGCACTTCTGGCTTTGATCAGGTCAAGAACATGCGTTGAGAAGGGCCTGAGCTGAAATGGCTTCCAGCCTTGTTTTCTAGGACCAGCAGAGCATCTGCATATAAAAGGAGTCAGTCTGTGAAGTTTTAAACAGAGGAAATAAGTTGTTCCTTAAGTTGATTAGTGCTGAGATCTGTGAGGACTGCTCTCAGTCCTCAGGATTGCAGGGTGAGCATGTAAGAGATGAAAGCTTCTATTCTCCCTTGATTTTTGTGACTGTCCTTCCTATTTTGGGGGTGTAGAAAGAAGACATTGTTGTGGAATTTTCTCATGTGCCAATTAGTGTTCTGCACCTCACGTACCCCAAAGTAATCTTCCTCCATTTTGGGAATCTGTTTGAGGACAAACAAATAGAGGAATCCCCTCCTTCAAGAAAGATGGAGACTTACAGCAGCCTCTTTTTCCTGAGCATCATTTCTCTGCTTCCAGTCCAGAGAATGACTATCCTCTGTGGGTTTGCAAAACCCTTTCTGAAGTCAGAGAAAGATGCAGAAATTGATAAAATGACTGATAATATTCCCTCTCCTATTCACTCTGCTCTATCCTGATCTGGATACAATGGGCTCTGCTGGCTCCAGAGGCAGTGACTTCAGGGCATCCTGAAAGGAGCTGGCCATCTGCAACTCAGCATAAGCTCAGCTGCTCCCCTGCCTTTGTGGCAGGGCAGAGATGAGCAGATAAGTAGCATCTGTGCTGTTTCAGATCTAAATCCTGTTTTCCACTTGTCCTTGTGTCTCTCTCTCCTCTCTCTCTCTCTCTCTTTTTCTCCATCTCTGTGTTGTCGTTTTGCCTGTCACCCTCCATGCAGGTGGAAAAGCCTAGCATAAAGCCTTCCAAACCAAAAAAGACCACAACAAGCCATAAACCCCTGAAAAAGGCCAAAGACAAGCAGATTGCATCTGGCCGGGCTGCCAAGAAAAAGAGCGCCGAGACCTCCAACACCGCAAAGCCAGAGGATAAGGAGAAAAGTAAAGAGATGAACAATAAACTGGCTGAGGCAAAAGAGTAAATGTCACTGCACTTTTCTTTCTTTCTCATTTTTTTCCTTTCTTTTTTTTTTTTTCTGTTTGATTAAATAAAGGCCACAAAATTAATTAGAGGCTTCTAATCTGCTTTTTGTTCTGATTGTATTAGAAGCTTTTCTGTTTTATTTCCAAGGAGGATTAGGAAATCCTTGTTTCTGAGGTCAGGTTGTTCTGCTTTGCCTGCACAACACGGCTCTGCACAGAGTGAGGGATGTGAGAATGCATAAGCAGGGTCCTAAGAGATGAAGGTGATGGATCAACAGTGATTGCATTCAACAGCTTGTCCCTTTCTTCGGGCTTGGTTCTTCAGTGCTTTGACAGCATGCAAGTGCCCATTGAGCCATGGTGGGGCTGTGCTCTCATCCAATGAGGCCCTTTTGGGTTGGCCATTGTTGTGCCATCTCCCACTGGTGTCAACAGGTAAAGAGTTTGGAGGCAGAGAGGATCAGGTTCATTCATGATGCCATGGATATGCTGTAAATCCACCAAAATCAATGGTGTGGCCAAGAAGGATTTCCCCTGGTGACAGTGATGGGAATTCTGCTCCAAGAAGCAACGGGGAAGGAGATCCCATGTAAGTAAAGGGCCAAATCCTCTCCAAGGGTAGCTGGAAATATGTGTAGCTGCATCAAGGCAGCTTCACTCATTAACACCACTTGAAGTCCTTGATGTAAAAAAAAAAAAGGTGAGGGAAGGTGCAGCGAGCAGTGAAAACATTCCAAGCATATGGCAGGTTAGACTAGGTTGTCAGCAGGTTGTTCTTCCCTGTTGTTTTCCCTAAGTTATGGATCTTGTTAATTATTCCTGTTTTGTTTTGAATCTTGGTCTATTCACTTCTGGGATGCCAATAGGCAGAGCTAGGTTTCAGAAAGTGATTTAGTTTGCAGGCCTGACCTTCCAAGGGGTAGAAAGAAATGTGTCACCAAGGTTGGCTAGAGCTGTCAGCCCCCATTGTGTTTATTCTTCCAGCTGTTCATGTTGGCTCATGAGCATCTCAAGAGGGCCAAAAAAAATTACTGGGATCCCTAGACTCCCTCCAGACAAGATCTCAGGGTTTCAATCATATTTACTGTGCTCTTACTCTAGGAAATCCCCACAACCAGTTTGGAAGCCGTAAATACAGCAGGACCATTTGTCAGTGAGTATGAACCGGCCCAACAGATTGGCATTGCATGCCATAGAATTTGTGTCACTGGATCAGTGGGAGAGCTGTGGTCCCAGTCCAAATTTATGTGCCTGATTTCTGGATTGGGTCCTAAATGCATAAGGATTAATCTTTATCCCACCAAACTGAGCTGTTAAACTCTCCCATGGCAGAGTGGCTGCAAGGTAAGATGCAGGGTTCTTGTTACTTATTTTTGCAGCTCCAAATTTTCTCTCTTAATATGAAGTCCAGCTTGAAACTTGCAGTGGACAATTAGAAAGCATGAAGACAGAGATGGGATAGAGTAGAGAGGTGGTGTGTTGCTGTAGAGGTGGTGAAATAAGGAAAGTCTTGCTGCTAGGGGTAAGACCCTAGCAGGATGCTAGGGGTATTTTAGAGATGTGAAACTACCTAGCAGAAAAATGGGTGAGTTGGGAAGGTGAGGAGTCCTATTTTGGGGGTTACATCCCATTAGAATTGGTCTTTTGGAAACATAAATGAGTGGTGGGCTACAAGGTTGAGTGAAAGTTTCCAATGAGGAGGAAAGCTCTGTGATATACAGGTAGTGACATTTGCTGGCTTTAGTAATGAGTAAATGCCAAGTTCAGTGTATCATGTGATGTGTCCTGTTTGCCTTGCACTAATAGCCTAAACCTTTGAGTATCAGTAAGTGTAGTGTTTGAATTAAGTGATGTAATTCCAAGCTTAGCTTTGTTAGAACTGTGTGCTATGAGCTAGTCAGGTTGTGCATGTGGAAAATATATATTCATATATATAAATACATATATATATTTAAACCTCCACTGTTTAGGAGGAAACCAGGGAAAATCCTCCAGGAAGTAAAACTGTTGAAACATTTGTGAATGTAGGTTTTTTTGATTGGTTGGTTGGTTGGTTGTTTGGTTGGTTGGTTGGGTTTTTTGTTGTTGTTGTTCGGTTTTTGTTCGTTTGTTTGTTTTTTGTTTGGTTGGGATTTTTTTTATGTGCATGCCACATGGAGATGCTGACCTGTCCATACTGATCATTGCTTTTCTGAGTGCTCAGAAGCCCCTGCAGCACTGCTCAGCTCTGTCTCCAGATCAGCTCGGCAAAAGGCTTGTGTTGAGCTGGTGGAGTGTTGTGCTGCTTGCAGTTCTTCCTACCTGTCACATGAGGGACAACTGGCCAGAGAAGATGAGCTCCCAAGACTTGGTGTGATTCCTTGGCTTTTAAGATGCTTCATGCATCTTCAAACTCCTCAGTAATGTCCTTTCCTACAGGATGTAGCATAAGCTGTGAAGATGACATGTCACAGCAGGCAGAACACATCAGGAAGGCACTAGACAGTTCTAATAGCTCAACACACCAATCTTACATGAGGACAGACCATACAAAACAATTCTTCCTGTTATTTTTCAGCCCTAAGTTTCACATTTAAAGATACACCACTCTTGCCACTGTTTCACCTGGAATTCAATGAGAATTTAGCCCTTGATTTCAAGGTGAACTAAATTTTGCCCAAGAAACATCACTAAGATGCTCAAATCACCTAATCCAAGCATCTGCATGATTCTGGAGGAACCGCTGATCATCCAGCTTGGGATGGTTTCTTCTTAATGAAGAGCATCCATCATAGTATTTGAAACATACACAGTGACTGGTCAGAATATAGCTTTATTTTTCTTAAATAAATATGCATATAAATATTTCCCGTTTAGTTTCCATAATACATAGAAGGGTTTTTTTTTCCATAATACATGAAATTTTTCCATAATACATGAAGCCCCATGGCAAGGGGCTTGTAACGAGAAGATCTTTACGGTGCTTTCCAACCGAAGCCATTCCATGAGCGCACTACAAAGCTAGGTGTGAAGTGTTAACCAGTGGTTTTAATTTCCTCTCTAGTGAAGGAACTTTCCAAGAGTCATTGAGCTGCCTATTTTTGACACCTGTCTTTGGGTGGGATGAATGGTCCTTGAAAGGTTTTCTTTGCAGAAAGAGCTTGGGAGACTGGTAAGGGCTGGATGCCTTCCTCTCACATCAGCCAAATAGGGATAGAAATCCTGGCTTGTGCTCCATGTGCACCACATCTGCAGCATGCATCCAAGCACATACACATATCCAAGCACATGGGCTGGCACTGCATTGAATGCCAGGAACTACAGCAGAGGCAAGCCTCAGGGTGAAATCCTGCAGTGCTGTACCTTCCACAGACTCTGTGCCCATCCAACCCACTCGCATTTATCAGAAAGGAGACCAAATCTCTGCCATTTCAAATTCACTTTGGGCTCTGAACTTGTCAATCCCACTGGGAAACAGTGCTGTGCTGTTATGTGTTTCCACCTACCACAATGCTGATTCTGTTCCACTGCTGATTTGTAGTATTATACTTTTATTGTAAAAAGAAAATAAAGAAATTATTTGCTTTTTACTCTGTGAGAGCTCCTGTGCTATTGCTTGCTTTTGCATTTTCACTGTTGTACTGTTACTCCTTTCTGCAAAATGGTGCTAATTGCTGGCTGAGCTCCTGACTGCTTTGCACACCAACCACCTGCTTCTTCATTTGCAGCGCAGCCAGTGCCAAAACCTGGCACCCATGCATTCCAAGAATTCTTGCCTCTTGGAGGCAGATAGGAAGTGTCTAATTAATATTTTGTGGCCTGGGTTTGGTTGCATATCACAAATTGTCTCTTGTAAACATGTTAAGCATACCTCCTTGTGGTGCTTTTTCATTGTTGATATTCTGATGAAAGTCTCACACACACACACACTCACACACACACACACACACATTAATGTACCGCCAATTGATTGTGATGTGCTTGTGATCTTTGCTTGCTCAAAGGGTTCTTTTTCCAATGATAAATAAATGCTGAAGACAAATACCACCTCCTTGATCTTGTTTTCTCAATCAGAAGCACAGTTAAGTGAAAGAAATGCCTATCCAACCAAAATGAGGCTTGTGTTGCTTAGAGTTGCCACTTTTCATGCCTGCTGTAGGGACAGCTGGGCTGGCACAGTCTAACTCCCTTTAGGTGGCTGCTAACCTCAGATCGGTCTGGCATGAGCTATAGGTGTTTGCAACTGCAAAGATGGACAGTGAAGTCATGTGGATGGTGAAACTTTAATTTTCTATATAAAATATTTTTGAGTAGAGGGTCTGTGCAGTGCCTTGCTCATGTCTACCTTGTACTGGCTTAGGGAACAGAAACCAAATGCCATCAAGAGCTGGAGGAGGGTAGATGATGTGTATTTACCAATGTTAATTACACATTTTTAAACTGCCTACAGCTTTTGTTTTCTCTCTAAACCACACCTGAAAAATCTGGTCTACTGGAAGGTGTCCCTGCCCATAGCAGGAGATTGGAACTAACTGAGCTTTAAAGTCCCTTGCAGCCCAAACCTTTCTATTGTTCTGTGAAAAACACTTTCAGTGCACTGCAAACCCAGCCCCTGCTGAGCAAGTGCTTGGCAGAGTCTGTAGAAGTGTAACGCAGTGATTTTTTATTAATGAAAGTATTGGCTATCTGGAGAAAATGTCGCTTGAGAAGAAAGCACAACTGAGGACACAATTTTATTTTAAATTGTGAACCCTAATCTTAGCTTAATCTCTTTTTTCTTTTAATTAGCCCACAGTTCCAATTTTTAATCATGTTTTCTCCTTTAATATCCCCACCAAACTGAAGAAAATTTTTGTATTTTTGTATTTTTGAGTAATCTGGTCTAGTGGAAGGTGTCTCTTCCCATAGTAGGAGGTTTGGAGCTTGATGGTGTTTAAGGTCCCTTCCAATCCAATCATTCCATGATTCTATGATTTTGAAACTTCTCCTCCACCTCCTCCTCCTCTCTGTTGACATCCATGGACCTCCAAATCTTCTTTGCCTTCCTGTTCATAAGGGTGCTATTTCTCATCCCTGCCTGGTTTACAAATCACTTTCTGAATTTATTCCACTTGTGACCACATGTGACCAGTGCTGCTTTCTGATGTCCTTTGTATCACCCTACCTTCCCTCTCCCTTCCCCACCAGTTTCATCCATTCATCAGTTACACCTACCTATATGATTTTGGGAGTGTTTCAGCTGGGTTGTAGGTTGCAGGATTTATCATTTCACTCTCTACAGCTGGTAGTGGAGAAAATGCCCATTTCTAAAAGGTTGGTTATTATTTGGGCTGATCTGTGACAATCCATGATGGGCAACAAAGTGCTTCCCCCATAACACAAAGGTATGGGGTCTTTTCCATGCTGCAGTCTGGATAGGTAATCCATCTGATCCCTGCAGCTGCCCAAAGTGAATGCTGGAAAGCATGCCTTCCCTGCCCTGTTAACCTCTGAACCCGCTCAGCCTTGCAAAGCCCAAACGTAGAAAGGGGCAGGATGCATTTCAAGGGAACAGTGGGACCTACTGGGCTAATGAAAGGCCTGGACTCCCTGGTGTTTAACCATCATTTCCTGAACCCACTGGTGCTGACTGACCCCTTAATCTTCTCCAAATTACTAGTGGCTGGCACTGCCCACCTCTTTACAAGGGCTGTGTGGAGGGCTTCATTGAAAATGAAGTACTTTGTCTTACAAGAGCGTTTAGTATGGAGGTGTGGAGGCACTGGCTGGAGGAGTCTTTGTCAGTGTTGGCATCTGGGTGAAGTGAACAAGGAGGGCAGACAACAAATGGAATTTTGAAAGTCAAGTGTCCCTCTCAAATACTTAATAACGGAGTGTCTTAGAGTTTGTTCTTTTTCCAACCTAAATAATTCTAAATAATCAGAGAGTGATCAGAGGTTTTGCAGAGTTGTCGCTTTGACTGCCATGAGTAGTCTCATGAGAAGTTGCCTCCCAGCGTCCAGTTTTACTGAGCTGCTTTTGGAATACATTGTGTCCATTCATCTAGGATCCTTGTGCATGGGCGGATGAAGAAGTTTTTCCTTGACACTCTCCATCCTTCCATTTCAGCTTGGGCACAGAACTGAGCTCCCTTTGAAAACCTCAGTTATCATTTTTACATCCCTGACTGGTAAAAGGATGCTTCATCAGCTGACATATCAGCCCTTATACAAATGCATGTCATGATATTCTTTTGATTTAGGATTTATTTAGAGATGTGCCAGTGCAGGAGAGAAAGAGACTTTTTAAGAAGATGCTTCTGACATGGCTTGTACCTCCCAACATCCAAGGAATAACAACCATCCCCAACAGTGACGTCAGATCAAGAAGAGAAGACATACAGGAAGGAGAAATTCCTTAGTATAAACATGATGATATGGATGTGCTCAGCTCTAAGAACAGTGTCTTTTCCAAAACTGGAAAATATTGTGATGTTCAGACATAGGCTTCTGCTCTGCCTTGTTCCAGCAGCGTCATGGTAAGTTGGATTCTGTTGGGGAATTGGCACCTCACTTCCATTTGTCCTTATTCACCTGAGCTTTCTGGGTTGAGAGCAGTTCCACTGATGCCACTCAGTCTACTCCCAAGCTCAGGGGTGTGTGATGAGGGGTAACACAGCTCTGACTACTTCAGAACAGGTCTGTCATTAACTCCGAATTGCTTGTAAACACTCTTAATTTCTGTTGCAGGGTGCCTTGGGAACAACTGCCTTATCCTGGCTGTCATGACAAGGACATGTGAGGCAAGAATAGAAGAATCCTACAAGTGCATTGAAGGCATCTTTATGCTTTCTAAAATGCCAGCTTGCCCCTCAGGCAGTCTACTCCACGGGAGCCAACGACAAGGACCAGTCACCAAGAAAATGATGGATGGTAGTGGCAGATCTTAGTGATATGTGAGAGCCCTGACTGCTTTCAATGTGTTCAGTGGTATGAGAAATGGGAAAGGGAAAGCATTTCTGAACCCTCCTTGTTGTCCTCTGCCTACCCCAACCTAGCCTGTGGCATGCAACAACCCCAAGCCCCAAAGAAAGCTGGATGTTCACATATCTTCTTGGGGAATCCAGTGTGTCCTCTCTAGCTCTGAAAGAGGTCTGGAGAACTGGGTCACAGCAAAGAGTGAGGAGCACCCTGCATGGCACAGGCGGAGGGAATCTCACCATATGATGGGTGGCAGGTGGGTCTGTTCTTGTCAGTTAACAACATCCATAAGCACTTCATGGTTCCAGTACCAGATGGTCGAGGTAGGGAGATCCTGAGAGCAGACCTTGCCCATTGGACTGACCTGCTCCTCAGGATTTAGTACCCAACTGAAGACAAGTTCAGCTGCAGCCGCCTTGTTTGGACCCAAGAGATTCTCCCAGAGAACCTGTGGCGTCCCCATACCTGAAGTGTTCAAAGCAAGATTGTACTGGAAAACCTGGTCTAGTGGAAGGTGTCCTTGTCCATGGCAGGGGGGTTGGAACAAGAGGATCTTGAAGATCCTTCCCACCCAAATAATTCTGTGATCCTGTGATTTATCAGCAGGGACACCCCCCCCCCAGTGTACCCTGAATTTAATGAAACAGATAACGCTTTGGAGCTGCACAAAGGACAGTGAATGTCTTTGCCCTCCTTGCCCTTGCTCTCTCCCCTCTCCCCAAGGTTCGCTGCTGATCAGAGATCTCTCCCTGTTGGCTCCTTCCCTTGCAGTCTGCAATGCCCTCACCTCCCCATCTGACCCATTTGCCTGCCACAGCACCATTTCTTCTTGCCTTCAGAATAATTTTCCATCCTCTCTGCCAGCTTTTCTGTGTCCGTCCCACAGCTGCTTCTTCAGTCTTTGCTTTCTCCCACCCCTCCCCCTCCAACACCTTTCCCCTCCACATCACCCCAAATACCCAGCTCCACTAAGGACCTTCTCCTTCCCATCCTCTCTCAGTTACTGTCTTATGTCCTGTCTCTCTTAGATTGGAAGCCTTTTTCTTTGCCTGTACTGTGTGATATCACTCACTGTTTGAATAAATGATACCTCACCTACCAACTGCCCCTTCTATCTCTTTTCTTGGTGTGACTTCACTAGATGTGTCTGCAAGTGTGTCTGTCCTGGTGGCCAGTCTTGCTTCTACAGATCTGTCTGTCTTTTAGGATGACACTGGCTTATGCTTTTGTCCTCTGGTACCTTTGTTTCCTTTTTTTTACAGCCACAGGGACAAGCTTTGTTATCAGTGTAGGAACCTGGCACATTCAAAGCTGAAGGATCTTCTGTCCCTTGCTATTCTGGTGCATCTGATAAAGAGGTTGGCCTTTCTCCAGCTTCTTGCAGAGATGTCCTGTGCTGCCAGGTGGCTCAACAAATGCAGCAGATGAGGAAAGTGAAGGAGAAATCTTGTAGCCCAGAGCAGAAGCAGCTGATGGTAAAGGAATGACGTTTCACTGTAAGAGGAAGCAGTGGGCAGAGATACTTCAGTGGAAATCCAAGCAGATATATGTCTCAGGGGAATCAGCAAAAGATGGCTTAGCATGTTTCAGAGATGGATGCCCAGGAGGCATCTTGTGGCTCAGAAGGTGCCCTGGATATCTGCTTCCTTCATCCCAGGCGAGATGAAGGACCATCACCTGCCTGTGGTTCCTTCTACCTGTGAGTACATCAAGGACCCAGTTGTGACCCAGTCTCAGATGGCTCTTTGCTACCTCCTTGTCCTAATTTATTGCCTCAAAGTGCCAGTTTGGTTGGTGCTGGCTGGAGCTGTTGATGCACATGAAGATGGTACTTCTTCCCAAGTGCTCCTTATAAACATGGAAAGTTACAGGAGCAGCTTGGTTCCTCAACCCTTACAGTGACCCTCCCTGCCTGTGGTGTGACACCAGCCTGCCAGAAAGCAAAGGAGACTCCTGGTCATGCTGAGTGAGCTCAGAGCATGGTCATCAGCCTGATTTCATGGGCCATCTGCAGGAGTTAGGTCTGAGGACTTAACGAGAGGCAAAACTGAAGAGGTTTGGTGGACATGTATGGGAGCAGTGCTCAGT